AAAAAAATCCTTAGTTAATTAATTTTCATTATAGACAGCTTTATAAAAGTATAAAAGCTCTCATAAAGTATTTTTCTGAGGTCTGTCTTATCAGGTAAATTACTGTACACAGTGTATTCATTAATTTTCATTTTCATGTAGTGGCTCTATGCCTTCATAAAGGACGTACTTTTCCTTTGTTTAAGGGTATTTGGGCAGTTTATTCTCTGTTATATTCTGTACAAGTAAATACTGTACAAGTACAGTACAGTATTTTCTGAGGAAATACTCGTACTTATTTTTTTTAACCCCATTCCCGATAACTCGGCATTTTCACAAACTCGGCCACCCTTCGGTCCACATTAGGTCGAGTTTTCGAGGTTCTACTGTACTAATAACTGTGTTGATCTCGGTTTCAAATGGGTTTCCTCCGAAATTCCATTTCAGAATTCTTTTGAAAAAAAAAATTGTTCCATCAAATTTCATTTATTCTGTCCATTTTTTCATCTGAAGAAGAACCATTGGTTCAAAAACGTTAGTGAATGACATACTGTCAAGTTACACACCGTTTTTTGTTTTGGGTTAGAAGTAAGTCTTATATTTTGTGGTGTGTTTTGATGTGTTGGTTTAAATGAATTATGCTTATTTATTAATTATTATGCTTATCTAAAGTAATTGTACATAATTACTATTTAAATGTCTACCATAATCACTTCCGCCAATGTCAATTCAGTCAAATATTTTTCTGCAGACTGGCAGTTGAGAAACACTGGTATACATACTGTATATACCATATAGTATATACTGTACAGCTATCAAGAGCTAAGGATAGAAGTTACCTTTAGAAATCTGTATTTATAGTATATAACAAGGGTGGCCAAACCTTGTTGTGACAAGAGCCATACATAAACAATGCCATTGAAAATAAACAAAGGCCATATCACATATTTACGGTATTTTAACTATATATTGATAGTTATCGCTGGTGTATAATAAACGTCACCGTTACTATACTCCTTCAATCGTTAAACAATCTTTTAATTCCTTTGATGTTACGAACGTACCCAAGTTTCATTTATGCTTTCAGTTGCTTATTTAAGGTTATGAGTTACACTTACAATTCATGTATATATTACACCGTAGCCAAAAAACTTACAAAAATATTATATATGTGTAAGTAATATATATCAAATTTATAAAAAGAAATTGTACAAGTAGGATGCATGCTCCTATTGTGGACCATATAAGCCGAAATCCATCTAGCCCATCAAAGCAGGTTTAGGTAAGCCATCTTCACAGGAAGTATCATAAGACAATCCTATTCTCAATGACAAACAATAATAACCAAGGATAGAGAACCAGAGTCAAAGTCGATTTAAAAAAATTCCAACTCGGGAGTCACATACTTTTCTGCCGACTTCCCATCACTGACAATAATAGGTCATCTCTCACATAACGGGAAAAATTATCATGCAATGCCCCTTCTGGCAGTCAACCAAGTAGCAAGGCATCGTCCAGTCTTCAGAAGATAACAAGGACTCCACATTTTGGGCGAATATTTTCTACAAAATGCCCATTATCGAGCTTGCTCTTCCTTTAAGGTTGCCACATCTCCCAGGCTCTCGACAAAAAAAAGCCAATCGTCGACCGCCAGAAACAATCACGCAACTACCACAATTGAAATATTTTTTCATAACGTAAACCACAATGTAATTAAAAAAATGTTTTTTTCCACAACAAGTATAGAAGACATTTTATTTTCACATACAAATATTACTTTTTGCATTACTTCATACCATAATAAAAAATATCAAAGTCCAAAACGGCTTTAAACGGTCCCCTACCGGCACCACACGAGAGCCGCAAGCAGCCGGCGAGCCGCGATTTAGCCACCATTAGTATATACCAGGGGTGGGTAAACAAGAAGTCAGCGGGAGCCGAAACGTAGGTTTTGCAAAATGCGTGAGAGCCGCAGTTCTGTACTTTTTATTCTGTACCACAATTTTATTATATAATATAAAACAAATATTGAATTTGTTTAATAAACATATTTTCACAAAATTGTGGAAATAAAATTGCAAAAATAATAATAAAAAGCAGAAATTAACGCTTTACGCAAGAGCCGCGCATAACTCAAAAAAGAACCACATTTGTCCACGGTGGGTATATACGTATAAGCGCACACAAGCTTACAGAAATAGAGAGCTCTCCTCACAACAATTTCCTCCAAACTAATCCGGTGGTAAAAGCCAGACTTATGGCTCGATTCGAGCTCCGAACGAGACAGTCAGGACTCGGCGGGAGCCACAGAGCACACCCACGGGAGTAAAAAAGTCGAAAGAACCACACCTCTACGTGCGAGATACGGCCCCCAAAATCTGGTCGCACGAGACGGCGAGTCCCACGGCTCGGCCAAGACTATCACATTTAAATATTTAGTCCACACGTAAAGGTATAGTTCCTTTGACATTTATGCTTGTATAGGAGGGTCTACAATTCTTTAAGGTGCAAAACCCCTCATTCAGAACTCGGATAGAAGAAATATATATATATATATGTATGTATTCTGCATGTATATAATATAGTATAACTACTCTGTAAACAAATTACTAAAAGTAACTTTACCAACAGACGTAATGTTAGGGACTGTCAATTAGTATATTTAGGCCTAAGTCCCCTGACATTAAAACGCAATAAATTCTTTCATTTATGTTAATTGGTCGAAATAAAATGAAAATATGAGAATTTTAAGCCATTAGAAGCAATTTTAACTGCGGGAAGAATCGCCGGATATAAAAAACGAGGAAAAACATAACAAATCCAATGGGTTTGAAGGAAGAGACAACGTCATCAAAAGTTGTCTGTTTACTTCACTCGTCATTTTACTTGACACGAAATTCTAATTATACGCGTGCCGTTAAGCATGTTATTTCCAATGAAATTAATTATATACTCGAATACTCGACGACATTTTAATCGAAACAAAGAATAACTTACTTCATCTACCGTTACTCCAATCCGCTTAACTATCCTTCTATAACTGCGCATGTCCGGTAATGCTTAGTGTTGCCAATCTTACATTTCTTTTATCGTCTGTAATGGAATATATTTTTATTTCCTCCCCTCGCCGACACTATCCATGCATTTTTATTTTTTAAGTTTTAATACTTCTCTTCATTTGTTCCGGCTTGTCCAAGTTTTTGTAACACACCCCCCCCCGCTTTTATATCCAAGAAAGCTCCACCCCTCTTCAAACCTTTTTCGCTTTATGAACGAAAGATACCATAAGTAGAAACGAAGCTTACGAGAAATTTTTAATAAATATTACAATATGTATAGAATTTAATGAAATAAAACGAATGTCCACTGTAGCTCAATCCCTCCCTCCACCCACCCCTTCCACTGTGGGCGTCGTTTATGGACAACCCCTTACTGACTTTGCCAAGTAACCAAGGGACGAAGGAAGAAATCAACAAGTCAGATTAGATCTGACTCAATATTTTTTTAAAACTCTTTCCACCCCCCGAAGAACTAAGAGGGTCCTTTTCTTTTACTCTTTCCGCCCTGTGCCTGTGGGCTCTGGGAGGGCTTCTTCTAGCAGGCCCATTATGGGGCGGCCGGGTGGTGAGGGACGTGGCCCGACATATCCGAACAGACCACCCCCCGAAAAGTACCTGGGGATTCGTTGACACTTCCGGATTCGATCCCGGGTTCCCCACAGCGGTAGGTTGCCACCTTGACCGCTCGGCCATCAGGCCTAACTAAGAGGGTCTTTTGAGCAAACTTAGAGTTTTTCGGCCTTCCGAATTAGATCCCAGGTTCTCAAGAGTGTAGGCTGGCACCATAACTACTTTGCCGCTCGTCCATCCACTAAAATTTCCTTGCTAAATTAAAGAACCTCAATGGCACTCCCAAATCGAAACATCGCTCTTGACAATAACTGGCCACCATTATTCCGTTAGATTTTTTATGGGTTAGCTGAAGAGTCAAGTGTAAAGGAAGAAAGCGAATACACGAGACAAACTGCTCGACGCTATTACTCGCAAGAAAAAACGTCAAGATGAACTCAGACGAGCCACACTCCATTTTCTCACACATGTTTCAAAGAGCAGTGATGTCGATAGAATTTTTGAGGTTTTATTGTAAAATGATTAGAATGATAATTATTAGAAAAAATACATTACGTGTTTTATATATTTTATCAATACTTTTGCACATTCGAATGTACAAAAGTATACATTCAAATTTCACTATCTCAAATTGTTCGTAATAGAATTACAATTAAGCAGCAGTTTAATTAATATTGAAGTTGCAGACAAAATAGTTATTCGGCGGGTGTGATTCATCACATCCACGGTTATCTAAAGGTTAAAATCCACGCGCAGTTCACCTTTGTTTTATAATTACTGTATATAGAATCATTTCTAGAAATGTTAATTTAAGTGCCATTAAATAATCATCTTTCTCGATATTACGGTAAAAATATCAAGTTGTTATTGTATTTTCGCCAAGTATTTGCTTTAATTTCGTTTTATATTCCCGTGTATGGTCTTGGTTAACGCGAAATGTTTATATTTACATCTTTGTATTTCGTTCCGCCATCACACCACGTGCATTTTTCGAACCCCTATCCCCACATCGGTGTGACGTGGCTGTTTAATCTTTATTATACACGCGTCAGATTCTAAAATTGTAATTTTAAAACAAATCCAAAATTCTTCATTAAATTGCCGCTTTTTTTAAAGCGTAACAAACGAATTCAACAATTGAAGTTGTCGTTGTTGCGTAGTTTTGCTCTTGTTAATAAGAAGAGTGCGATTTGGAAAGCGATTCGAAGATGTTTTTTGACGGTAGAGAGTATCGACCCCTGCCCCATCCTCCTGGGTAAGAGACATTTCATTACTATTTATTCGGATAAGAAATTGGTTTAGCAATTAAAGGCTTTAAAGAAAAACTTCCATCTACAATATATAATTAGGCCTATTAGATTAAATGTAAAGATTTTTGTGTCTTCCTGTATTGCTGACCGCAATAAAGGGCTGAAATAGAGGGCTTTATAAGGCACAGTTTAGGACCTGGTGTTAAGAAGATAATTTAGGGCTTTTCAATTTACTGTTTAAACGAGTAATCGGGCCTCTTTTATATCACGGATTAGGTGTAACTCTGATACCGAAGGGTCGTTAATATGACGAAATTTATCTATCTATCTCCTTCTCAGCAATATTAATTATAATAAGAACACACCTGAATTCTATTTGCCGAGTTTTTTCTGTTTATTTCAAACGTTTTCAGTCTATTTGGATAGGCCATCTTCAGGTTTTCATTCATCGTTCCAAAATGGTACCATTTGTTCGAATTTTATTTTGATTTGAATTTTAAAAATGTGTCAAACTCGTGAAATGTGTCAAAGTTTGACACATTTCAAAAATTCATTTGTTTAGAATTAAATAGTTATTTTCTCTTTGCATATTTAGGGAGGGATTGGATGTGGACGCGCGAAGATTCGTCAGTCCACAAAATTTGGATTATGTTAAGTTTCGAGGCAGAAAGTTGAAGAAAGGCCCCTCGAAGCAGTACGAACCCTCGACCGGTGCTTTCGAAGGTTTGGACGTTTTTGAAAATAACATCAAGCCCGCTTATAGAAAAGCTGTGATGAAGGTTCGACCGATCTATCAGACGGCCTGCCAACGTTTTAACAGGTAAATTACATTACTGTTTGTATATAATTAACTTGTGTATATTATATGTACGAGCTGTTTAACGAGGAATTATTCTGACAAATACGAGCAATCGTCGTTTTAATTTTTCGATAAATAGTAATAAGTTTAATAGTTTCTTGCCCCGATGGGAAATTAAAGGAAATATTTTCCGAGTGTTACCATTTATAAATATTCATCGTAATTCAATTGCAAAATTGTATATTTGTTGTATTTCTTTGCTCGTTTAGTGAGAGATTGGTCGAAAATGTGGAGGATGAAGAAGTGAACAGTAGACAGAGCGTGATTCCTCCACGAAGCACCAAAGAGCACGAAGATTGCGTGCAAGATAATCCTGGCCATTCCAGTGATAGAAATACATTAAAGAAAGTCGGGTCGTTCTTTAAGAGCGTGTGGAAACCCGTTAAGAGGTAAGATTTTGTACGATTTAGCCTCTGAAATTGGCAATAAATCTCTAAGCCCGAGTATCGATTAAGCCAAAAATTTTCATAGCATTAAGATTTGAGTTGGAAATGTTTGCGCATAACTTCGCATAACTTTCCCGTATTGTTCGGCGCTGTATCGGCCTATTCGACCGTGCCATTATTGATTGGATGAAAAGTTAAATTCAAAACGTATGAATTAGTAGAAAATTTCATAATCCAACTTTCGTTCTTTGTAGGCCAACATTTACAGCGCCGCAATATGTTTTAATGCAATTCAAATGGAGTTATACGTTTTCCGTGAATAATTATACTTCTTTTTCTACATTTAGATCCGTGCAGAAGGTGTGTAAAATGGCAAAAAGTGGAGAATGCGAGTACGTTCGGTTCGAGTAAGGATCTCTTTGCTTCCATCTGGGTTTATCCATCGACAATAAGATCCCGCTCTGTGATTTTCCATAAATTATTTGCTGGATTTGGGCCGAATTGGCTTCGGGTAAGTGTTTATTGTATTCTACACCAAACACTTGGCAGATTTTACGGTCTCGGTTTATAAATTAACACAATTTCTGACCACTATTTCATAAAAACTCGCAATTATTGGCCGGACAATAGAAAAACTGGAAATACTTATGTACGGTATTAGCGTGGTTATACAGTATTTTGATACGATTGAGATCGTACCTACAGAAAAGCCACGTTTTTAGGATATCGGGCATACATAGCCTGTATATTCTTGTCCAAGTACTCACAATAATACATCGTGGGGTGTAAGTCGCTGGTCTCTTGACACAGCGAAAGCAATAGTATAAATGAACGTAGAAATTAAATTATCCAGTAATCTTACGTGATTACGAGGACGGGGACATCCTAAAATAATCGAATTGACAATGACATATTTGATACATACATGACACGTGGCATTATGCAATTAATTGCCGTAAGCAAAATCGTTTTTGCTTGTTGGCATGTAAGTGTATTTTAGAAGGAAATAAAATTATTGATATAAAAATTAATGAAACAATTGAATATTTTATAGGATATCTCCGATGACTTGAATCCTACTCCTGATTTTGACATCCCGATTGCGTCAATATCAATTTCGATTATGACTTTCCAATTTTGACTTTGTCCCGGCTGTGTCTCATTATTACCTGTTAGTGAATTACCATTGTCCGAAATTGGACTACTCGAATTTTCATTCTCGAATTATGTCTTCCCCACGAATTTGGATTGTCCCGAATTATGTCTAACCTCGAATTTGACTCCTGAAATGTGTCTACACTCGAATTTGAACTCTTCGAGCTTGTGTCTGTGCTGAAATTTGACTCCGAATTTGTGTCATCCCTGGAACTTGGAATCTCCGGAATTGTCTTTTTACTGGAATTTGAATTTTCTCAAATTTTGCCCATTGCTTGTGACGTCATCTAAATTCAATGAAAGTCCGATGAACGTGAGAAACTCGAGAAAAGGAAGTTTTGATACAGAAAACGGAGAAATCTTTTTAAAATGCTTCGTGAAANTCAAATTGTGCCCATTGCTTGTGACGTCATCTAAATTCAATGAAAGTCCGATGAACGTGAGAAACTCGAAAAAAAGGAAGTTTTGATACACAAAACGGAAGAAATTTTTTTTTAAATTCTTCGTGAAGAACGAATGTTTCCAGATAAAATTTGCGTTAAACGAAACGCTTTACGAAACCGTAATAGGAAATTACATATTTGAATAAATGTCGTTAAGTATTGTTTGTCGCTTGCAGGATGGTGAAGTTTTATGAAGAAAATGTATTTGGAGAACTCAAAAACCTGAGACAGTTGATTTAATTAAAGTCTTACAAGAAGACGTTCTCTGCAATGCTTTGATCCTGATTCAGTTCTAGAATTTGTAAATTTTCGATCTAAGATACTAGTTTGTTGAATGATATAAGTGTAATTATAAAGAATTGTCTCTGTAATAAAGTGTTTGATTTGATTTGGTATCAAATTATTTTCATGTCACATAAAATTATTTATCTTTTAAATTGTTCCAAACTAATTTCAATCGCTTATTACGGCAATAAATAAAGATATAATACGACTAATTTTAACTCCTCGAATTAACCGTTGATTTTAACATCATTCTATGGGAGAAACCTCTGAAGTGTGTGGCACGGCATCTGTCGATGTAAGCAAATCGTCCACTTTTACATTCAATCATCAAATGGAAACGTTAAGCTTTGTTCGGTGCCGCGTTAGAATGGCACCGAACAAAGGGACCACGCCTTTAAAGACGAGGACGACCTTATGAATAATTTATGCATTTAGATTTAGCATCAAAGAACAATATAATCGGGATATAAACGTGACGATTTATAGGACGAAATTCAAATATTTCGTGTCTATGCCACATTGTTCGAATACCTTGCCGAATCTATTGTCCATACAACACAAATATGCGAAAAATTAAGAGTTTGACGACGTAGTTAAGGATTTGGCTCTGGCTCCGTTAATGAAAAATAGGAGTAAATGAACACGTTTCCNTAAAATCTCATAAAAAAATTGCACGTATAAATTTAACATTTTATCCTGATAAGTTTCAGAGAACTCATGTAAGAGCCCAGACAGTTGTTACATTAATTTTAGCAACGTAAAAGAAAAATTCATAGATTATCACGTCAAACTTTTTGACAGTATAATCTTACAAAACACACAGACCAGACATCCACCATAAGGCCTGTCAGGATCTTTTTACGCAATGGCACTTGAAAATCGTGGCTACCCCTCGCTGTCAACTGAGGCATCTTTGTCTACCAAACCATTCGCAACAGTTGTACGAAGTCGAAGTCGAGCTGATCGCACGACAACCGGCAACGGAAATGCCATTAACCACTAATCACAGGAATGCATGTCTGAAGTAAAGTCACAGTAAGACGATTGACTGGTATCAGGTGTTGGCTGATGTTTGACCACCGGAGCAGGTCACACCCAACACTTTGTTCCAGCAAGACAATGATCGATCGCATATCGCACGACGAACTCTCTCCAGCAGGAACGGAATTCATATCCTTTCTTGGTCAGCAGCCTCGCTGTACGTACCTCTTTCCTGTCGAAAACCTGTGGGACCTCGTCTAACCTTAGGTAAACTGGGGAGCACCGTCACATACTGTAGTCTACATGCTTGTTGCAGTAGACACAGCTTGGCAAGGGGTACTTCGGGAAACCATTAATTGCCTCATTGATAGTATGTCTTGCTGAGTAGCAGTGTCAGGTCTATATCGGTTACTGAGTAAACAGGTGTCCATGGAATATCTTTGTTTTTTAATCATTTGCATATTTCTGTTACCTTTCTGGTTCTGAAATGTGCAGGTGGCTACGCGCACTCCTTCGTGATGTTGCTATTTAATTTTATAGTAGCGTATTTCAACCACTAAGCATTAATTGCAGGTTTGCACGTACCCAATAAGCTGCCCACCCGATATTTGCCATAAGTTATTATAAAGTCGTTTTACATTAAAAGTCTTATTGCTGTTGAAGTTACTTTTGCACTTACATCGTGTTTATATTATGGCAAAAACTTAAAAAAACGGGATGATTCAATAATATTACATGATTGGAAATGATAGAAAAGGTGGTAAGTTATTGTTTGAGAAGTGGAAAATGGCTCAAAAGTGGCCGAGTGGACTCTGTCTCCACTCATAGCGGCGGTGACCAAACTTTAACACTGGGTGTTTGGTAAAAATAAGAGTAAATAAAAACGTTTCCCAAGTATAATCCCATAGCTAACGAAAAGTGCACCTTAAACAATACGATTATTTCTTTAAATGACTGCACCTGTTTGATTTCAGTCTTTGCTTGCAATAAAAAAAAATAAACGTATTGTTATAGTTATAAATTCAAACACTTCTGGTGAGAAAGATTTGCCACGACTTTACAAATCTTCAGCCGATTTTGTATTAAATTAAGCATATAAAAACTTGGAGAGAACTAACGGAATTTTAGCACGACTTTCCTGGTGACATTACCCATCAGTTTACTTAATACAGTATTGAAATTGTCTACTAAATAGTTATTCTGCAGGTGTGATTAATCAGATCCAGGTTACAATGCCCGCTTTGTTTTATAATTAAGTAGGCCTATATAGAATCATTTCTAGAAATGGCAATTAAGTAATCATCTCTCCCGATATTACGGTATAAATATCAAGTTCTGGTTGTATTTTCGTCAAGTATTTGCTTTAATTTCGTTATATTCCCGTGTACGGTCTTGGTTAACGCCAAATGTTTATATTTACATCTTTGTATTTCGTGCCGCCATCACGTCAGCATTACCATATGGAATCGTCCCTATTCTTACCCTTATCCCCAAACCGGTGTGACGTGGCTTTTTAATCTTTATTATACACGCGTCAGATTCTGAAATTATAGTTAAAAAAAAATCCAAAATTTTTTATTAAAATTGCCGCTTTTTTAACGCGTAACAAACGAATTCAACAATTGAAGTTGTCGTTGTTGCGTAGTTTTGCTCTTGTTAATAGGAAGTGTGCGATTTGGAAAGCGATTCGAAGATGTTTTTTGACGGTAGAGAGTATCGACCCCTGCCCCATCCTCCTGGGTAAGAGACATTTCATTACTATTTATTCGGATAAGAAATTGGTTTTAGCAATTAAAGGCATTAAAGAAAAACTTTCACCTGCAATATATAATTTGACCTAATTAGATTAAATGTGTTTTCCTGTATTGCTGTATTGCAATAGAGGGCTTTATAAGGCACAGTTTGGGGCCTGGTGTTAAGAAGATAATTTAGGGCTTTTCAATTTACTGTTGTTTAAAAGAGTAATCGGGCCTCTTTTATATCACGGATTAGGTCGTTAATGTGACGAAATTTACTAAAATTTTAAACCCAACATCGTTTCAGTATGTTCAATATGTCTTTTTTTTTTAAAAAATAACAGAAAAGATTTATAAAAGGTCCTTTGAGAGTAGTTTGAGAGTAGAATTAAATAGTTATTTTCTCTTTGCATATTTAGAGAGGGATTGGATGTGGGTGTGCGAAGATTCGTCAGTCCACAAAATTTGGATTATTTTAAATTTCGAGGCAGCAAGATGAAGAAAGGCCTGTTCGAACCCTCGACCGGTGCTTTCGAAGGTTTGGAAGTTTTTGAAAATAACATCAAGCCCGCTTAGGGGAGACCGGGGCAACTTCGGCATGCGGGGCAAGTTTGTCAAGAGCTATTTTTTTAAAAACAAATTAAAAGGAGACTTTGGTTATAGGTTAGGCAGTTGAGTTTTATTGGTGGCTTGTTGAGTGTAGTGTTTTTATTGTTCTCCAACAAGCGTAGTTGAATTATCAAGCAAATTTTCATTTTCGTTCAATTCCATATAATATTTTTTTTCCATTTATATTGAATTGGCAGGTTTTGTTATAATTCCATGATAACGAAAGTTACTTTTCCTGTTAGAAGGATGTAACTTCAACTTATTCACGTGGCCAGATCGTGGCTTGGCATTCTGTTCTCAGGGTTGTACTTAATGTTTCGAAATCATGACTAGCGGGGTAAGATCGGCAACATAAAGCCACATTAGAAGCAAAGGATAAAAATCAAACAGATGATAAATGAAAACATGTTTGCATTTGTTATTCATGTATATATGTCTTTGAACTTGCATTTCGTTGTAATAATATTAAATGGGTGTTGGATTTGTATTTCTTTGTTTTAATAGTGAATTCCAACTTATACATTGTTAATAACATAATTTTATATACGTGCCTATCTTGCCCCATTACTGTTGCCCCTATACCAGGGGCAACTTTAATAAAAATAATTAAAATAATTACAACTTTACAAAAAGAGAGAAGTTGCCGATCTTGCCCCTATACCCGGGGCAACTTCGTCAATTTCTCTCTTCTTGTAAAGTTGTAATTATTTTAATTATTTTTATTTCCAAACTGATTTTAACCAGTTCTATAGTAAGGTAACATTCCAATAGACAATATGCAAAGCTTTTTTTTCAGTTTACAGCAGTATTTATTACACAAAATTCAAGTAAAGCTTAACATGCCGATCTTGCCCCGGTCTCCCCTATAGAAAAGCTGTGATGAAGGTTCGACCAATCTGTCAGATGGCCTGCCAACGTTTTAACAGGTAAATTACCTTACTGTTTCTATATAATAAACTCGTGTATATTGTATGTATGAGCTGTTTAACGAGGGGGTTATTCTGAGAAATACGATAAATCATTGTTTTAATTTTCCAATAAATAGTAATAAGTTTAATCCTTTCTTACCCTCGTGGAAAATTTTTAAAAAATGTTTTCCAAGTGTTATCATTTATAAATATTCATCGTAATTCAATTACAAAATTACATTTTTATTGTATTTCTTTGCTTGTTTAGTGAGAGATTGGTCGAAGATGAGGAGGATGAAGGAGTGAGCGCGGTTCCTCCACGAAACACCAAAGCGGACGA